AGTAAATTTTCAACTTCTTCTGGTGTTGCATCATCTAAAATATAAATTTTTGTGAAACACGACCTGAAGGAAGTGTTGACGTATAGGCGTAGACATTTCTGTCCCCTCTTTCTAGAGCCTCTGAAGAACGGCTCATCAGAAATATTTGAAATTTTCAGGATACATAGATCTTGATGAGTAGAGCAAAACTTGTCATAGTCACCAAATTTCTAAATACTTCTTTCTAGAAAATATCTAGATTGCAAAGGCTAAAAATCGCTCTGCTTTCTCCTTTTTTTTTAATATCTTTTTATCTCTTTCTATTCGAATAAAAAGATCAAACGGTACCATACTTTTCAAAACAAAAAAAAAACTAGGCATTTCAAACAATGTCCCATACCTGTAAAAAAAAGTTTCAGCTCGATCATAAGTACCATATCAGAGAACCGAAGGTGATTCTGCACTATTTTTTTGTGTAAAAATTGATTTTGAGAAAAACAGAAAATAAATTTTCTTGTATATATCAGGACTTTTTTCTTCAACTAAAATGATCGAAAACTGATGGTGTTAGAGGTCCATGACCGATGTTCTCAACACCTTCAGAAATTATCATTAGAAGAATTTGGCACACAAAGAATAATCACAGCGCGAGTTTTTCTGCTAGGGATTTCGAAAGTTTGATTTAATAGAAGTGTTAATTAACAATGAAGAGCACTCATTTATATAGCATTTGACAGAGATCATTTTGAAGCTATACCAAAAATCTAAAAATTACTGATTTTCACATCCGAAAAGGAGAAGGTCTCTTAACAACGTTCCCTATCCCTTTCCCGCGTCACAGGTGTTGTGGCTATACGATCAAAGACTGTATATGAACTACTTTTTTATTGTATTTCTGAAAGATAAATCAAAAGGGTAGTGAAGAAATGTGTCCCATAATAGAATAAGACGATGTCTCTATAATTAGCAATAGCAACTACATCGTGTTTTACATTTTAGTTCCACAAGTAATGCGTGTGGGTCTTCTCTTCCACCACCCTCAAAACACCGCCATAATCTGTCATCCCAGAAAATAGTAGATAATAATGAGGAATATGATGACAGTTCTCTAGCGAGAAAAAAATCAGCTTGTAAAACGGGATAGTGGATTAAAACGAAATACTGTAAAATTCAGTACAGTACTACACTGTTTTCGATATAAAAACTAACCTCGAGCAGTTTTGATTGCTACTGTTGTTAGTTTTTCTTTTGAATTAATACCCTTTGCTACACCTTGATATAAGTACAAAACCAAATGCTCCTTTTCCAATTAAATGACCAACTGCAAGACTGTGAAAAACAAAAAAAAACATTAAATCTATTTTCTAGATAAAAGTTTTTCTTTTTTTTTACTTTTCTCGAGAAAATTCAGATTGATCATCATAATATGATGGAATAATTGTTGATATTGTTCCTTCAGTTTGAAAACGATGACAATTATCTTCAATTAAAAGTTTTTTTTGTTTTTGGATCAATATCACTTCGATATAATTGATTCTTTTCATCATAAAAAATATTAGATTAATTTAAACATAATAATAAAATAAATGATTTAAACTTACATTTTTTAAATTACTAATACCTCTTGTAGCTAATATACGTGTTGCTAATAAAGTTTGTTGTAAACTTTTTCATTACGAAAATGATAAATAAGAAAAAAAATAAATGCAAAAAGTAATATTCCAATAATACAACCAATTAATATTATTAATTCATCAGATAATCGACTTGATATATAATGTCGTCTATTTGATGATATATTTTGTAGTAATAAAGGTCTTTCAGAATCTTTAAAAAGAAAAAATATTTTATTAACAAAATGAAAAAAAATCTATATGTGGAACAATAAATGAATTTATTTACCAGGTAAAACAGTAAGTTGATGAATTAAATCATTAAAACCATATTCATTTAAAACACGACAGAGATAAACACCTGTATCATTTTGTTGTAAACGTTTAATAGTCAATAATTTAACTTCATCTTCAGACATTGTATGTGGATTATATTCCTAAAATAAATATAAAATAAAGTTTTATACAAATTCAAATAAAATCTATACTTTCATCTCAAAAAAAAACACAAATAAAATAAAATAAAATAAAACAAATCATCAAG